GTGGTCGTCTCCCTTTCTCCCCTTCTCTCTCTCTCACTGCTGAGGTGAAGGAGAGCCAAGTGCTGTGACACGTGTAGCAATACATGTAAAAAATCCACATTCCAGATGGTAATCACAGCTCAAGACAGGCAAACACCGCCCTGTCCCTACCTGACGAGCCTGAGCCCCGTGCCAGCCCTCCTCCTGTGCTCCAGGCAGGGAAGGAGGGTGGCTCTGCTCAGTGCAGGGAGGGTCTGTGCTCTGGGGTCTGCTTTCTGCATAGGGGATGTGGGATTTGGGAAGCCACGAGAGCAGGGAAAGGACCTCCTGGGTGCAGCACTCAGAACAGATACAAGAGGTGGTAGCAGCACAGAAGAGAAGGCAGGATTAAACACGGAGCCCGAAGCGTTGCCCCGAAGCGCTGCCTGCCGGAAACCGGCAGCACAACTTGGGTGTTCACAGTGAGGACTCTGTGATCCTAGGAGCCAGGGGAAAAGCTCCACGGGGACGTTTGGCAAAGGCAAAGGCTCAGTCAGGAGTGAGTCCCTCTCAGTCTCTCCCATGCCTTGGCATGAGGATGGTGGGAGGCACGATGAGAAGGAGGGTTCTCCCCCTGGGACGTGGGTGCAAGGGGCAAATCTCCCAAGAAGTGATGAGTGAGATGAAGAAAACGAGAACAGCGGGAAGAGGACACATGCAATGAGTAGCCTGGAGGAGCTCAGGAGGCAGAAGGGGATATTTATTAACCAGAGGAGCAGCTCTGCTCGCAGCAGAGGTGACGTGCTGGGTCGAGGCGTGGCTGTGCTGCGCCACGGAGGGGGAGTGTGCCTGGGGCTCCCCCTGCTCCCTGTGCCCCTCACCCTCAGGAGGCACACACATCCCCAGCTTGCTCCTCCTCCGAAGACAGGTGTTTCCCACAGTAAAACACATGGCTACAAAAGAACCAGCTCTTAATTGCCTCTTTCTCCTTTTGTTGTGGAAAAAAAAAAGGTAATCACAGCTTAGCTCACAGAGATCCCTTCAGATGTTGCTTTCAGGCTGGCCAAGGTTTGATGTGCACAGTGGCCTCTGCTCTCTGCACGGGGACAATGACAGGTCTCCAGGCTGACCAGCAGGATGGATATGATAATTATGCAGGGATATTTTTTCCCTGCTTGGCACTGCTGGTCACAGCCTGTTATTGTGTCTCTGCAATCCCAGCGTGGGACCCAGAGCTGACTTGCACACGAAGCCCATGCAAGGGCCCTGCATTATTTTCTTTAATGCTTGGTGCCTGTAATGCTTCTGATTTTGTGTGCTCTGCAGCCCAGGGTGGGATAATGAGCTGAATTTAGCCCAGCTCGTACTGGGATAACTGGGGCTCTCCCAATCTGCAGGGTGTGGCTGGTTCACACAGAACAAGGGTATCGGCACTGGTGTCCCCCAAGCCCCCATCCTGATCTCTCCCAGGCTGCTGGGGACCAGCAACTACATAAACATCATCTCACAGAGCAGGTGCAGCGTGCCTGAGCCCAGCATCCCCATCCTCAGTGTTTCCATGCCAGGCTCCTGAAACCCCCGCGGGCGCCTTGCATCAAACCTGCTCCCACGCCTGCCAAAGCGAGGGGGTGGGAGGAAGGATCAGGCCCTCGGTGCTGTCGCTCTTTAAAAAAAAAAAAGGCAAGGAAAAAGTGAGAGAGAGCTGGTAGGAGCTGCAAGTGCTCTAGAGAAGAGATCCAGCAAGGCAGCGAGGCCTCTCTCACCATGGAGACGCGCCGGAGAGCGTGCGGAGGCTGTGCGCTCCAGTTCATTCGCTGCAAGGACTTTTCCCAAGCTATTCAAAGGGGATTTCACCCTGCCAGCCTGCCCGGCTGCCTGCTGAACGCCGGAGGGCTCGAACTGGGCGGTGCTTCCCCAAGGCGAGCGGGGCTGGTCGGGGTGGCACAGCCAGATGGATGGAGCCCGAACGGCTTGTGGTGGGGAGCGGCGGGAGGAGGAGTTCGCTGTAAATATTGCTGTCTGTTTATGAGGCTGGGTGCTAATCAGTCATAGATAGATAGATAGATAGATAGATAGATAGATAGATAGATAGATAGATAGATGGAGATATATTTTTTATTTGCAAGTGGTACAGTCAAGTTGTTTTACCCCCTCCCTAGTTCAAACCTGGGGTTCATTCCACCCTTGCACAGGCAAGGAGGCTGTGGAGGGCACAGACCCACTCGCAGGATACTCTTTGTCCCCTCAGCAGGCAGCTGCGGGCAGAGCAAGTACTTGCAGGCACATTCCTGGCTCCAGCACAGACAAACCGATCTCCAGTATGGTGCTGAGCAGATACTGGGACCCCACTGTCCCACTCAAGCTGGGATATAGGGGTCCCCTCCGGCTCTGTGCAGGGCTGCGGTGTCGCTACACTCCTGCGGTTGGATCCTAACTCCCTACTTGTATGCACAGCCCAAGGACAGGCCCAGTGCCATGGCTTGGTGGCCCAGTGGGAGAGTGGTGGTGGCCCTGCATGCCCAGTGCTCCAGTGATCACAGAAATACAGAATATTCTGATTTGGAAGGGACCCACAAGGATCATTGAGTCCAACTCCTGGCCCTGCACAGGACAGCCCCAGGGATCACACTATGTGCCTGAGAGTGTTATTCAAATGTTTCTTGAACTCTGTCAGGCTTGAGGCCATGATCACTTCCCTGGGGAGCCTGCTCCAGTGCCCAACCAACCTCTAGGTGAAGAACCTTTTCCTAATATCCAACCTAAACATTCCCTGACACAGCTTCATGTTGTTCGCTCGAGTCCTATCACTGTGATGCTCCAGCTTGCTGCTCTGGCTGTGTTGTGGCTCTTTTCACCTGAAGTAAAACCTCCAGCACTCAGTGAGGCTGTGAAGAGAGTTAAGAGGATAAAAGCCATCTTATTCCTGTACCTGATGGAAGGTCTCTTTTAACACAGCTCCTGCATTTCTCCCTGCAAGCCCCAGGATGGAAAAGATGGGTGTGTGCATTGCTCATAGGCTGCATGAGTGGAAAAGATTCTTCTCCCGGAGGGTGGTTGGGCACTGGAACAGGCTCCCCAGGGCAGTGGTCACAGCCTCAAGCCTGACAGAGCTCAAGCAGCGCTTGGACAATGCTCTCAGGCACATGGTGTGATTCTTGGGGCTGTCCTGTGCAGGTCCAGGAGTTGGACTCGATGATCCTTGTGGGTCCCTTCCAGCTCAGGACATTGTATGATGATTGCATGAGTGAGTCTGTAGTGTCTCAGGCAAGGCTGGGACACGCGGTGTGGAAGGACCACGGCACGTGCGGGATCCACCTCCATCCTCATCCACCACCCAGTGTTTCGGGGTGACGCAGGAACCACAGCTCGGCACGAGCAGGTCGGGGGTCTGCGGGGTGTCCGACGGCTCCCCAGGGGACTCCCATTTGCTGTGGCCAGGGGTGGAGGAGGGAGGGAGGGAGATGGACTTGACAGCTGTGCCCAGGAGGGGCGAACTTTCCGCCCGGAGTAGATACCGGGATAAATATAAACGGCATTTGGGCTGGCGCTTGGCCGGGACACCCGGGCAGGGCAGGGCAGGGTCACCCCCGCGAACCCGGCACCGTGTCCCGGGAGGATCCCGGCTGTCCCTCGACACCGTGCCCCGGGAGGATCCCGGCTGTCCCCCGGCATCCACCGCCCCACTCCCGCCGGGACCATCCCGGAGCGGCCCGCGAGTGCCCTCCAGCGGCCCCGGGAGGAGGAGGAGGAGGAAGAGAAGGAGGAAGAGGAAGAGAAAGAGGAGGAGAAATGCTCTGCTCTGGTGAGACCCCACCAGCAATGCTGTGCCCAGCTCTGGTGTCCTCAAGATAAAAAGGACATGGAACTGCTGGAGAGAGTCCAGAGAAGGGCCATGAAGTTGATAAGGAGTTTGGAGCACCTCCCCTATGGAGACAGGCTGGGACAGCTGGGGATGTTCAGCCTGGAGAAGAGAAGGTTGTGTGGAAACCTCACAGCACCTTCCAGTGTCTGAAGCGGCTACAGGGAAGCTGGAGAGGGAATCTTCGTCAGGAACTGTAGCGATGGGACAAGAGGGAATGGGTGCAAATGGAAAGAGGGGAAATTTAATTTAGATATTAGAAAGTTCTTTACTGTGAGGGTAGTGAGACACTGGCACAGGTTGCCGAGGGAGGCTGTGGATGCCCCATCCCCGGCAGTTTTCAAAGCCAGGTTGGATAAAGCCTTGAGCAACCCGGTGTGGTGGGAGGTGTCCCTGCCCATGGCAGGAGGGGTTTGGGACTAGATGAGCTTTAAGGTCCATTCCAATCCCTTAACATTCTGTGATTTTAGGATTTGGCTTCTACCAGCCAGCAGGACCAGGGCAGTGACTGTCTCCCTGTGCTGGGCACTACTGGGGTCGGTTTTGGGCTCCTCAATTCAGGAAGGACATAGAGATGCTGGAGTGGATCCAGAGAAGGGAATGGATCTGGAGAAGGGTCTGGAGCACAAGTCCGATGAGGAGCGGCTGGGGGGGCTCAGCCTGGAGAAAAGGAGGCTCAGGGGGGACCTTCTCGCTCCCTGGAACTCCCTGACAGGAGGGTGTAGTGAGCTGAGTATCAGCCTGTTCTCTCAGGTAACAAGCCACAGGATGAGAGGAAGCGGCCTCAGGTTACGCCAGGGGAGGTTTAGATTGGATATTAGGAAATTATGGTTTTTTTTAAGGAAAGAGTTGTCAGTCATTGGAACAGGCTGCCCAGGGTAGCGGTGGAGTCAGCACCCCTGTAAGCGTTCAAAAAACGCCTGGGGACACGGTTTAGTGGTGAACACGGTTGCGCCGCTGGCGGAACGGCTGGACTCGATGTTCTTGGAGATCTCTTCCAACCCAAGCAGTCCCGCGATCCTGTGATTTATGACATATCGCCGCTCGCCGACACGCCGTCCCGCGCCCGCCCGCGGAACTCTGGGTGCGCGGGCGCGCGTTTCCCGCGGTCGGCGCGGCGGCGCGTACCGAGGCGGGCTGGGGGGGCGGTTTAGCGGGCGGACCGGCGCGGGCGCGGGCCGCCATGGCGTCGCCCCCGCTGTCGGCGGCGGGCGGGAGCGGCGCCGAGCACAGCTCGGGCTCCGAGGCACCGCCGCCGGGCCGCGACCTGCCCGCGCTCTTCGAGCAGGCGGCAGAGCGGCTCCCCGCGCTGCTGCCCGCCGCCAGCAAGGAGCAGCTGCTCTACCTGTACGCCCGCTACAAGCAGGTGAGGCGGGACCGGCCCGCCCGCGGCGTGAGCGGGGCTGCCGGGCTGCGGCAGGGGGGCGAGGTCGGTGCGGGGCCCGAGGGGCTGGGCGTGCGGCTTTCTCGGGGCCACGGGGCTGCCGCCCTAAAGGTGGCGGTGTCAAGGGGAAAGTTGTGTCCCGCGTCTCTCCCCCCCGGTGCTGCCGGCTGCACGTGCGGTGGGAGGGGGATGGATTCCGGTGGGACACAGCCCCGCGGGATCTGCGGGGAGAGTGGTTGGGAAGTGTCTCAGCGGGAAAGGGCCTGCGGGTGCTGGTCGTGCCCCGGTGGCCCAGAAGGCCAAGGGCATCCCGGCCTAGGTCAGCGACGGTGTGGCCACCAGGGCAGTGACTGCCTCCCTGTGCTGGGCACTGGTGAGGCTGCACCTCGGATCCTGGCATCAGTTTGGCTCCTCGATTCAGGAAGGACATTGAGGTGCTGCAGCAAGCCCAGAGAAGGGAACGGATCTGGGGAAGTGCATGTCCTGTGAGGAGCAACCGAGGGAGTTGGGGGAGCTCAGCCTGGAGAAGAGGAGGCTCTGGGGGGGACCTTCTCATTCTCTACAACTCCCTGAGAGGGGATTGGAGCCAGGTGGGGTTGGACTTTTCTTCCAGATAATAAGTTACAGGACAAGAGGAAACGGCCTTCAGCTGTGCCAGGGCAGATTCAGGTTGGGCATCAGGGAGAATTTCATCACTGAAAGGGTGGTCAGGCATTGGAATGGGCTGCCCAGAGAGGTGGTGTAGTCCCCATCCCTAGAGGTGTTTAAGGAAAGACTAGACATGGCATTCAGTGCCATGGTCTAGTTCCCAAGGTGGTGATAACTCAAAGGTTGGACTCAAGGATCTCAGAGGTCTTTTCCAACCTAAATGGTTCTTTAAATCCATCACCCTGGCTCTTGTTCCTGGCCTCTCACCCTCATGCAGTGTGGATGTCCCTGATGCTGCGTCCTTTGGACTGGCTTTAAGTGGTGCCAGGGGACATTCAGGTTGGATATTAGGAAAAATTTCTGTATTGGAAGAGCAGTCAAGCACTGGAACGGGCTGCCCAGGGAAGCAGTGGAGTCACCATCCCTGAAAGTGTTCAAAAAATGAGTAGACATTGCACTTCACCGTACCATTTAGTGGGAATGGTGGTGTTTGGTCAAAGGCTTGACTTGATCTTGGAGGTCTTTTTCAGCCTTTATGATTCTATGACGTTGGTTTGGCCTTTGGCAGACTCCATGGTGGGTTGAAGTCAAGTGCTGGTGTGGAGGATTTGGCCTTTGTCCTTGGCAGAGACGTGTCATGGGTGGGTTGATGGCCTGTCAGTGTGTCCCTGAGGCTTTGGGGAGGAACTTGACTGGTAAATCCTGCTGCCTCGCCTGTGTTTTCCCAGCTGCCTGTGTCTGCTGGGAGATGAGGTGCTGGGATGGGATGGAGAAGTAGCACAGAGTGCCCACCTCCCCATCAGAGACAGTGGGGACCTGCACTGGTGACCCAGGGTGGGCACTGCAGCTTTGGGGCTCTGCTGTGACCACACAAAGAATGTGCCTGGGAAGATCTGTCAGTGAAGGGCTTTAGAGAGGACTGGGAAACTGAGCTGGTTGGCTCTGGTTGTAACCTTGAACAGGACTCCTTTACATGTTTAGTCCCTGTGAACTGAGGGAGCTGTAGGAGGCATCCTGTGGGAATATACACAATGTGACTCCTTCCTGCTCCCGTGGGAGGCATTACATAAAACACACAAACAAAGCACCGATTGCAAAGCACTGTAATAATCACTTAACTTGGAGAAACAGAAAAACTGTAAGCATTGTTACACCTGGAAGATTAAAAAGTACAACTATAGGCTGGATGGGGATTGGAGCAACCTGGTCTAGTGGAAGGGGTCCCTGCCCATGGCAGGGGGTTGGAACTGGGTGATCTTTAAGGTCCCTTCCAACCCAAACCATCCTATGATTCTGTGGCTCCAATGTGCGGCAAGAGGTGCTGCTGCCTGGACCTGAGAACTGAATCCCACTCGTTTGGATTAACAGTCAAAGTTGAGAATGCACATTTTCCCCATATGTTCCTCCCATATGGATTACCTGTGTCCTACTACTGCCATGTGTAAGTGCTTTCATTTTTTAGGGCAATATTTAATTATCCTCTAAGCTGGCGGCTCCCAGGCTGTGGGTTGTGGACTAGTAATTATATTAAAAGCAGGCTGGTCACGTGAGGTTTTGTTTTCAGATTGTGCTAGTGCTTAAACAGGTCTCCAGGCTTCTCTTTCCCTTGTAAGAAAAGGAGGATAGAGAAAAAATACTAGGAGAACTTTTAAGAATAATAAGATGAGGATGAGATGAAAAGAGTGTTTTTTTCTCTCCTGTAATTTTTTTGTCTCTATTTTCAGGAGCTTTGTTGTAAATAACCTCTTCTTTTTTGCTCTGTTGCAAATGCTTTGTGACTGTCCTGGGTGGAAATGGGAAGGGATTGTCCACAGACTCCAGAGGGTTTCCTGGTGTTAGACCGATAAGGTGTTCAGTGTTAAGAATTAATTAAATCAGAAGGTATTTCACAATAGTTTTGATACTAGTCAGAAAAAAGCTGATAATTAACACTGTGTCAGCAGAGATTTCCAGTTGCCTTCCACTGAGGGGAACAGGGCACTTCTGTGTCCGTCTCCTCTGTCCCTGGCCAGGCAGGATGCAACAGCAAGTGCCTTTGTGCTGCTTGGTTTCAGGCTGTGCTTGGCTTCTGGATTTCCATGGCTTTGGCTTCCCAGTCCAGAAAGGTGCCATGCCTGTTAGAGTGCTGGCACTGGGAGAAGTTTGCTAGCACAGCTACTGCAGGATTAAGCCCTGCTAACTTTGAGTTTTGCAGCATTTTGTGCTTTAAATCAAAACGAGGGCGCTTAATGCAAGTTTTCTGTATTTAATTACAGCAGCCATATCAGGATGCATAATGAGCTGCTGATATATTGCCCCCGTGGACGGTGGAATTGCTGGCACACAAAAGGTGCTGACTCAGATCTGTCCACTGCCCTTGATTTGGCATCCTTGTCTTTCCTCAGTTTAGTGTTTTGTGACACTAAAGGCTTTGATTTAAGATACAGCACCGTCATAAAAGAGGTGACAGTAACAGCTGAGCTCTCTGTTAAAATACTGTATATTATTTATTTCAAACTGTTTGGGTATATAGGCATTTTCCTGCAATTTTATTACCTTTTATTGGAGGCCATTTCAGGGTTTTATTACTTTTCTCTCTGATTTTGTTTATGTGTCAGAGACTTGAAAATAAGGGGATTGCTTAGTTGTCATCTCCAGTGAGGTTTTTAGAAGATGTTGCTGAGTTTACGACTCTGCCCCAGAACAGGAGGAAGAACAGATTAGTCTGTAGGGCTCTGAACTGGGACTGTTTTTCCTTTTCTTCCTGTACTTTCTGTGTGGCTTTGGGCAAATCACTTGTCTGTGCCATGAGTCTGTAGTGGCGAAGTGAAGGGAGGACTTTACTGTGGTGTTGAGGATGTAAAAACCTGAGATTCAGAGGGTGCAGTAATGGAGACCAGCGTAGTGGTCGTGATTTGGAGAGGGAAAGGAATCTAGAACTTGCTGGAAGTGATCAGAGTGAGAAAACTGCCCTGCCAGGAGGAGGATGTGCCAGTGCCTACATAAATGCTAAGAGGTGCTGGCAAGATGCAAAGACAGTACCACTGGCAAAATGGGGCTTACGCTGACTCCCAAGTGTAGGCTCAAGAATATAATCCCATTTTTGCATGGCTTCCTTCAAATATTGTGGAACATGATGCCACAAACCTGCCCTGAACATGGGAATTTCTGCCTGCAGCTCCCTCTTGCACAGAACCGTGTGATGGCACTGACTCAGTTGTCACTCTCTGTCTCTCTGGGACACGCAGTCCCTTGGTCATCAGGACCCCTTGCCTTCTGTGCTTGGGGTTTGCTTGTCCTTCCTTACACCCCGTTTTTAGTCAGGGCTTTCCTGTGGGTTGGGGCAGAGCTTTGGGCAGGAATGGGCAGGAATTGCTGTCTTGCCAAAGAAATTCAGCTTATTTGGCTTGTGTACAGCTAGACCTTAGTGCTGCTGTCCACGGAGGTTCTGTTCCTGTTACTGCTCCGTAGGGAGGTTGCAGATATGATTCACCTTACTAGATTTACAACCAGGTAAGAACATTTGGCTGGGATTCCCTGCTGTCTAAATATATTAGTTGAAAAATTAGCAAAGAGCCTTTTTACCACCACCAGGGAGGGGGAACCAGTCGTGGAGTAATGAGAATCTCAAGGTTTCTGGTAGTCTGGAGCAGCCGCTGGAGTTGTATGGGGATGGTATACAGCACTAACACATCCCTGAGCATCTCTCTCACTCTGACTGTTGTGACCTTCAGCTCTCAGGTGAAGGCCTCATCCCAGGTTTCCAAATTTCCATTTTGGCCACAAATGGAAGTGACTGCAGACACTGCCCATTTGGGGCTGCCTGGGTCATCTTTGTACAACTCATGAGAATAATGCCTGCAGAAAGAATACCAGGGAAGTTTTAAATGCATTTTGGCTGTCATGTTCTTTTAATGCAGCTGATGAACTGTAAATGAGGAGAGCTGAGCATCAAGTGACCAGTCAGCATCCCAGAGACCTTCAGTAATTATTTTGTGGGCACAGAATGAGAAACTCTCAACTTAGAATACTAATATGGGCTCTTGTCTTTCTGCTGGTTATGAAGAAAAACAGCTTTTGAGGGCCTCCAGGGAAGTAGCAGGAGGACAGAGCCCCCCACAAAATTTTTCCAGTTTGTCATCATTGGCCTGTTTAGCTAAAAGTCTCTTCCTCAGCTGTCAGTCTCAGGTCCCCTGATATGTTAAATTCCTGGTTGGTTTCTCATGCCTTGTGGAGTCTTGCGGCAAAAAGAGGGAAGCCAAAATCTTTATTTTATTCTTTCCAACAAAACCACTCCAAGCCTTTTTAATACATCTTAAAATAGCAAACAGGGCAAAAGTGCACTTTTTCCCCCCCTCTTCTTGATGGATGAAATTTAACTACTGTTCCTTGATTTGTATTACTATCGATGTTACTAACAGTCTTCCCCGACGCTGGAACAGCCTTTGAATGCCAAATCTCAGGAGAGGAAACTGCTGTCATGTTTTGATGATGGCAGTGGAAAATTAATATTAAAACAGATTTATTTTTTTTTATCCATCTTGGCCAATTTTTGCAGGTTGGCTGTTGAACTAAAGAATTGCCAAGCAGGCATTTTCCATACAGATAATGAATTTGCATTTCATTCCCCTGTTTGTTTTGCTCTTTTAAAACAAGTGGTCCAATCCACCTCTGAGCACAGAAGAAAACGTTTAAACTACATGAATTGTGACTGATTTATAGGAGTTAACTGTTGCTAGGCTGTTCTGCTATTTCTCCATGAAATGCAATATGTTGTTTTAAGGGCCAGCTAAGATGTTCTAATTTGAATGAATTGCTCACTGGGAGAAAGTCAGATGTACAGAAAATTAATTTCAGTTACAGTCACTCATATCCTGTAACACTTTAAATGAAAACATAGTGTAACTAATAAATATCTCTCAGCACGGGCATGCTCTCTTTAAAGCCTGATTAATGATTCCATCCTTAGCATAAAATCCCCACCCTGTTAAGGCGAAGAATTGTTAGTTGATTTAAGCACTTCACCTGCCTGAACACTTGAGCATATTTCATAAAACATTTGCTGAATGCAGTTTGGTTTTGCTTGGCTAACAAAATGTCCATCCAGCAGCCTTTGCCCACCTCTGGGATGTACCTGTGTTCCCTCCCTGGAGTCCCCAGCTATGCTGGGCTTTCTTGGCAGGGGGCTGTGCTCTGTCTTACAAGGGACTTGGTGTGATAACTGTTGCATTTGGAGCCATAGTTGTGCTCTGCCTTCTAGTCTTTCATCCATGTGGGATATACAGCACTTTCATTAAAAAATTAAAAAAAAAAACCCAAACAAACAAGCAAACAAAAAACCAGCAAAGGAACCAAGAACCAACCCGTGTTTTGTGCAAATTCATTCCCTATCACAACGATATTTTAATTTCAGGGAGATTCATTTTGCCTGTGACAGCTGTGTGCAAGGGCATTTATTTTCTGTGAGGAAGTGGCACTGATAACAGGGAGATCTGGTGAGTCCTGCCCCATGTTCCCTGGCTTTTCCAAGCAGGGACAGAGACATTCACTTACACGTTTTCCTGAGCTGACCCCAAGAAAATATCTCTGTTACCCAAATCTCAGCTTGCTAATTGCTCTGTTCTTGAGGCAGTTGTCAGTGCTGGCCACAGGGCAGGAACCTGGTTGTGCTTTGGAGCCCAGGGCAGGTGTATCCTCTGTCAGACCCCTGTGGTCCCCTTTGTGGGGAGCTTACGGAGGACATGTGGCTGCTGGACTTCCCTGCAGCCACTCTATGGAAAACTTCTGAATCCCACTGGCACCAAGTCCACTTTACACTGGCCATAACATTTTTTTCCATATATCTATCCACCAGTTCTGGCTCGTTCCCTTGCTTCCTTGTGTTTCTTATTTCCCCACACACATTTTAATTTCTGCCTTGTTTCTGACAGACTGGTTCATCCCTGGCACTCAGGCCTTGACTTGTCTCTCACACAGTGCTTCCATGCATCCAGGTGCCTTGGAGCAAATTCAGAAGCTGCCTGACATTCCTTTGCTCTGAGTTTGTCCCCTTGCCTTCCAGAGGACTTAGAAAATAATTAAGCAGAGTCTGTTTACTTGAGCTTTGTGCAGAAGCAGGTGAATTTCAGCCTTAATGAATAATCATCTCTGTAGACACCCTAATCAACAGAATTTTTCTTGATACTGGTGGGGGATGAGGCCTTTGGCAGGGTAATAAACATAACATTAGTGAGAAATCACTTGCTGGTTATCCCTGTTGGGTAATGCATGCAAAATAAATGAGCTGCATAACAGAATTGCTTCCCTTCCATCACACAAGGAAAACACAGGGATGCCAAGGTGCTAAAATGGGGGTAAGATGGGGTTGAGTTGTGTCACTTGTTTCCCCCCCAAAACCTTTCTTCTGGCCTAATAACAAAATTATCCTGAAACCATGAGAACCCAGAATTTTCCTTGAGCAAGTCCCCCTTGCTTTGTTCTAACAGAAAAAAATTTCTTTTCTTTAGGTGAAACTTGGAACCTGTAACACCCCCAAGCCCAGCTTCTTTGATTTTGAGGGAAAGCAGAAATGGTAAGAGGAAATCCTTGTAATTCCTAGCAATTTCTGGCTCTACTTTTTGTTTGTCAGCTATCTGTTGAGGGATTATGGACCTCGAGGATGTCAACTCAGAGAGACTGCCACTGAACTGGCTTTAAAATCCTTTGTTTAATAGGGAAATGTTTGCTGCTGTGCCTGATGCAGATGTGAAACACAAGACTCCTCTGTTTTACCTTGTTCATCCAGAACTAGCCTGCACACAACAAAGATGTTGTGAAAATAGCTTTGTGAACACAAACTGTGTTCCAGCCTGGATCAGGATCCCCTCAAAGATCCTTTCATAGCCAAGTGCTGCAGTGACAGTGGCCATTCATGGCTTCAGAGAAAAGTTGACCATTCCAAACTGAAGGAAAGACGGCTTTGCATCCCCTGAGAAGATTTAGATGAATCTGATCACTGATGACACTGTGGAAACACGCTGTGCTGTCTCTGAGGGACTCACTGATGTTTTTCTGTCTCTCCTAGGGAGGCCTGGAAAGCCCTGGGAGATACCAGCCCTCACCAAGCTATGCAGGAGTACGTTGCTGCAGTGAAGAAGCTCGACCCCAGTTGGAATCCACAGGTAGGAAACGTGAAAACGCTGTTTGGAAAACAAACCAGCATTTGTCTTTGTAGAGCTGGCAATGGTTCAGCTTCACACAGATTTTTAATTGCTGCATGGCAAACTTCATTTTGAGCAGATTAAAGTCTAAATTCATTTTAAAAACTCTCCTTTTGTTATGACTGGAACATGAAGAACCATCTCTTTCATTCATAATGATCTTCATTGCAGCGAGCGCATGCACAGGGTTGGTTTGGCTGTAGTGATCTAATTTATCTTGCTCTTATTGGTTCATGCTGTATTTAGCATGTAAAGATACTTTTTATCCTTTTTTCATCTTTCTCTTTTCAACTACTAGTTAAATGTTGATCAATAGAAAGCAATCTCCATGAAAGTGACATGAACTGAATGATCAATTCTAAAAATGTTTCCTTTTTGTTTCGATGCAGCAAATTACCAAATCTGATTATGATTAGGTACTCCAACATAACAAGTCCTGTGTCTGTGTTATAGGGAGACTGTGCTGTCATTTTAATTAATCTCTCTTTCATCTACCAGGTTTATTACTTGATTAAATCCTTAAGGATATCTCCTGTTTATAGACTGACTTTTATACAATTTTTAAAGAGGATTGCTCTTTAGAAAAAATATTGCCTTTGGAAATAGAGATATTTCACTAATAGCAAAATGCTGAAGGCATGGTAATTTCTTTTCATGGTAGGAAATTGATTCTTTTTTGGTCCTGTGCTTTGGAAGCAAAATCTTGTGCGAGCACAAGCCTATGAATCAAGAATTTGATTCTCATTTGTCTTCTGATGCTGTTCTGGAGACTTAAGAGTAATTGTTTTTCCTTCACTAGTTCATGTTTCGTGCCGTTGATACTGTTTTTGCAGGAAAGAAATGTTGTCATTTAGAGAAAACCCTTTTTAATGCCCTTGGGGAAAATAGTTTTATAAGCTGTACAGTTAGCAAAAGCTTGCTGCTTGCTGTGTAAATTCTTGTCTGATCTAAAATTCTCATACAGAACTGAAATAATTTGTAAAAGTCTATGTATAATTCTGAATGAAGCAAGTGCCAAATGAAACATACAAATATTAATTTAAAAAATAGTTTAAAAAAAACAAAACAAAACCAACAAACAAAACATTCAGTGCTTTCCTGAACAGATTTCTCAGCACAGTGACAGGCTTAGCTTTGGTTATTCCCCTCACTTTCTTGCCTCAGAGAAATACTTATTGTCACAGGCGTGAGCTTCGGGTTACAATTGTCAGCTAGAAAAGTGGAATGTTAGTTTTGTACAAAACAAATATTTTAAAGAAGCCATGCAGCAAACAAAGAATGGTTAGCAGCACTGCTCCTCCCTTATTCCCCCGAGGTGAGGAGGGGGAATAGCAGAAAATGTAACTTAAAAGTTAGCATTAAAGTACAGGTGACATTGCTTTCTTTACAAGAAGTCACCTGTCCTTCCTACTACAACTTCCTTTTAATTCCACTTTTGCAGGACCAAAATGCTGTCAGGAGTCCTCTCACCCTGATGTGTCTCATACTGCTCTACTCTTGTTTTCTTTCCTTCCCCCCACTAAATTCACGTTCTGGAGCCACGAGAGGGAGCTCTGTTCTTTAAAATGATGGAGGTGCATGTGTCAGGGGATGGAGATAAAATAGCTATTTTAGTCTTCAAATTTCAAATTGGATTTATAGAAAAGATCTGTGGGTACATTACAAGGTGCTTCATCACTGTCATTGTGTCCCCTTTACGTGCTCGTCTGCGGGGTGCCTTTGGATTTTTCTTACATTCAGTCGATCATGAATGAAATACTCCCAGTATTTGGTTAAAAGCAGCATAAAGTGCCTGGTACAAATTTGAAAAGTTCATCTTTCAGATCGTTATGAATCATAAATAGTAATTACAGTACAAAGGTGTTGAATTTCTGATTATGGAGCTTCATGAATTTTGCTGTTGTAAAGCTTTCTCAATATTACCTACTTATTTTCTCTTCGACAGTTCATCTCATCCATTAAAGTTGTTCTTTTGTGTTACCTCAAATCCTCCTCAGGCTCCTATTTCATATATTTCCAACAGGGCTTTAATGTCTTGATCCTTTAGTACTAAATATGCAAAATTTTAAACTTAGAAGCAGCTTATATTTTTCGTAAGTTCATTTTTTCCCCAGCACATTTGCTGCTGTTCTGGAGCTTTCAGACTGTCGGTATTTTTGTTAATAAATAGAATGGAACTAAGTGCAGTATTTCTTACACAGTCCAAATGGATCCACTTCTTCATTCCTTTTTCCTGATTCTCCATTGATTCATTCTTTCATATTGATCTTGCAGTTTCTATATTAATACATTTTCTGCAGCAGGCTGTAACTGCTATAATTTAGTATCTTTGTTTTGGATGGTGAAAAAAACCAAAGTAAAAGGATTCTGATGCAGTTGGAGTGCCCTGAATTTGTGTTCAGAAGCAATGAAAACACCACTAGCAGCCAAAACCTGATCTGCTGCTTCTACTGCTACATGGAGTCTGGAGTTAACTGCACTTTATTAGAAGACAACTGAATGTGGAGGAGCAACAGCACAGTGGTTCTCCGCTCTTTGAAGCTGGTATTTCATTTTTGACAGTGGAGGCACATCTGTTGGCTCATGTCCATGGCTATTTCCAATGTGTTTTAGTTCCTTCTTCACCCTGCAGGTTGTCTGTTAGTCCTGCCAAGTCTTTTCTTTCAGAGCTTAGTCTAAAACCTGGAAAGAAATGATCATACTGCATTTATTTTCAGCAATTTTATTTGCTGGGAAATCTTAAAAGTAGCAGATAACCGAAAGGATATTGAGGTGAGATCCATTGTCTTTACATCCATGAAGCCACAGGAATCTCTTTGCTGTGTTTGTCTTGATCCCAGAAGTGTAGAACCAATAATCTCAATTGGCTTTTTGGGATGCTTAGGCCCTCCTGTGTTGGCATAGTCTTACTGTGTGTTGTTTTGTTCCTTTTCCCAGGAACAGCTGTTAGCAGGAGGTCAGGAACATTCTTTTCCATGCAGTCTCCATTCTCCTCTTGATGCAGTCTTCCTTCGTCATCTTCTACCTTTTAGCACATCTTTTGTTTCTTGTTCTTGCTTGTGAGTCATTCCTTTCAGTCTGAAGTTCCAGGCAGTGGAAAGGTAATTGCTTGGACCAGCTCAGCTCTATTTGCATATTTCAGAGACATCACCTGTCCTTCAAGTCTATTCACTCTTCCTCCAGAGCAGAGAATAATTTATGAAGCCATTCTTTTGCATTCTCTGGCCTTAAACAGAAACGTTTCATGTCAACACCTCCCACTGGTTTGGGTCCTTTGGAAAGGAATATGTGTCCCAGCAGATTCTGGTATGTTCACCTGTCATCTTCCTGCTTTACTGGCAGCAAGTGACACGTTGCTTTTGGTGGCTTCTGCTGGTGTGTGTGGGTTAGGTGATGACACTCACCTGCCCTCCCTGCCAGGCACTGCGTGCCCATCCCTCTGACCCACCACAGTGGTGCTGTCCTGGGAATATCACCTTCACAAGCTGATGTCTTCCATCTTCATGCAGTAACTGTGTTTTCGTGTACATCACTGTATAATCGGATACTTTAGTACTAGTGGCTGTATTTCCATTCCCTGACACGCTCCAAAATTCTAATCTCTGTCGTGTATTTCATATCACAAATCCCCACTGGCTTCAATCCAGATTTTTTAAACCTCAGGCAGCCATGGGAGAAGCAGAAGCAGGCCAGCACTTTTTCTCAGCAGCATTGAACACATCCCTACCACTGAAATCCCATCTCCAGGGCCGTGGGAGGGGGTGTGACACGACACTGCAGTGGGGTGGTCGGGAGCTGTTATTGATCCGTTCTTGTTACATGGCACAGCTCGAACAATAAAAATAAATAATAAAAAAAGCATCCAGATTTGCTCATCTGTTTTAGCCTTCCATTTGCTGATTGCAGTTTTGGCATCACTCGATTCTAAATATTTCCTTTTCCTATTTCTTATACTGCGCATTTACCAGTTCCAATCTCAACAGCTTGTCACTACCAACTTCAGTGGCATCCTTTCCCAAACACTTAGAGGCTTCCTCCTATTTGCTTTGACTGCTGAAACTCACAGGAGGACTTAATGATTTTCTATTTATATATTAAAATTCTAAAAAGTGGCACTTTAACTTGTTTGACTTGACTTGCACTTAGCAAGATTTCTGCTGTGTAATGAGGAAAGTTGGATATTAGGAATCTGAAGAGCAGAGACTTGTCTCGAAGGCCAAGTTGGAAGAGAGCTTGAGCTCATAGAAAATAGACATTCACCAAACATCTTTTTAAGCTCTTAAAGGTATGAAATTCCATTGCTGATGTTTGCAGGGGAGAAAGCTGCCCGTATTTTTTTTTCAAGTACTGTTCTATGCCTTGTTTGAGTAGAGGATTTATTTCTCTGTACTCTGGGCCAAGTAGTGAATGGGAGTAAAATCCCCCCATTGCTGTGTTGGTGTGGGAGCACCGAGTTGTACCAGGAGAGAACCCTTGGGGAATAGACAGTGTCATGAAAAAGAAAACAAACTTAAGAGTGAATAAAATAGCAAATGCACTGTTGCTGCAGGCTTGGAGCAGTCCAGTAAGCTGGAAAACCTGTGGGAATAAACAAATGGATTTGTCCAGTGGGTGTTTTTGCAGGAAGTACTGCAGGGGGCAATATTTGATAAGATGGTTGGCCAGGTACCTGTGCCCAGGGCTGGGCTCTGTTCCCCCTTTCTCCTGGTGAAAAAACCTTTCTCTGTCACATTTTAAATGCAACAAGCAAGTTGAAACTAAAATGTGGAAAAGAGAATTTGCAATCTGAGGATACAGTGAAAAGCAGAATAAACAATTTCCAGATCTGCAGCACAGCTGAGTTTATATGTATGTTTTTGTTGGGTTGCACCAGGTGTTACCGAGATATTTTAACAATTGATTTAAATTAATGAGCCTCTTGTATTTAAGTAGAATCTCCAAGTCAATTTACCATTTCTGTC